TGATGCTACGAGCGATCTGGCGATGGAGCGGGGCGTTAGGTGACAGGGAAAGGGGCTGGGAGATGAATAATGCTCCTACTATTATTTTTTATATTTGTATATATATATATATATATATATTTTAACGAGGAGTGATATTTTTTTATATACTTTTTATTTATTTATTTATTGTAAATAAGGTTGGTATTCTAGTTTTGTTTTTGTGCGTGGTTCTCTTTTACATTCTTTCGTTCTTTCTTTTTTTGTAAACAGGGGACGAATTGCTTGTTTTGTATTTGTGTGGCTCGTTGTCCTTGTTGTTTTTCGCAAACAGGTGGTGAGATGCTAATTTGGTGTATGTGAATCACTGTTTTTATGTTTGCTTTGTAAAATGGGGTCGAATTACTAGTTTGTGTGCGTGTGTCTGTAGTGTAAACAATGGGTTTGGGTGTAATTACTTGTTTGTTTCATATTTTTTCTTTGTAAACAAGGGTTGAATTGCTAATGTTTTGTGCGATTGCTTGTTAGCTATATGTTTTGTTTTGCTAAACCAACCCATCGAAATGTTTTATTTTTTAATATATCCAAATCAGGTTGTGGGCGATGAATCTTTTTACTTATTTGTCGTTGCTATCTATTCATTCTGCCGTCTACTGAAGTTAATCCTTTTCACCCAGAATCCTGTCACTTTGTCTGCCATTCTCACCAGTTTAATGTCATATAAGATTATAGTTACAGTGATAACATATACATAAAAAGCCGTCCACATATAACAATTACTTTGATATTGTGTCTGAATAAGATTGATACTATCTTCCTTAATCGAAGAAATCATGTGGCATAAGACTTCAATTTTAAAAAATCCCAAAATGTATATTTTCAAAATAACTCATGTAACAATCGATTCTTGTTGTCATGGTTTATACCAATTGTTGTAAACCCAGCAAGCTCTGGTTTTCATTCGTAAACAATATAAGATGACTGATTACTATAATCACTTCCACAAACTCTGGCGCAAATATTAAGGATTGTATGTATTGGATTCACGTCGTAATATTTCCAACGTGAAATATTACGACGAAACACAAGTCGGATTTAACTAACGAAATACACCAGTTCATGTACGCCTCATCAGCCGTGGGGTAAAGCGGGGAACCCTCGTCCTTGAACAACTTTTTTGGGGGCTTTCCGCCTAGAGCCCCATCACATGGTAATGCTACTGCTTGAATGAGGTCTGATGCAGAGGGTAGTTGGTAGATTGGTTAAGATGAGAGGTTATATAAAGGGAAACTGTTTTTTCTCCACATTTCTACATATACCTCCATACAGTCAAGGAAAAATAGGATAAATCAGCTAACTATATTAATAAAGAGATCAATTAATGTAGAAATGAAATAGATAAACAAATGAATATGTACACATGTGTGTATATATGTATGTGTATTTGTGTGTGTGTGTGTATATAAACATATATGTACATATATATATATATATATATATATATATATATATATATATGTATGTATGTATGTATATCGAATACACATATGTAATGTATATACATACATATATAGATGGATAGATATATGATATATATAAACATATATGTACAACACACACACACACACACACACAACACACACACACACACACACACACACACATAATATATATATATATATATATATATATATATATATATATATATGTGTGTGTGTGTGTGTGTGTGTATCTATATATATATATGCATATGTATCTATCTATCTATATATATATACATATATATATATGTATATGTATATATATATGTGTATATGTGTTTTTATATGTATATATATGTATATAAATATATATATACATATATATATGTATATATATATATATAATATATATGTGTGTGTGTGTGCATGTATATATATATATATAATATATATATATATATATATAAATATATATATGAATATATATATATATATATTATATATATTAAGAGAGGTACAAAATTGATTTAGTTTTAATTCCATTTCCAACTATGGAAAATCTTTGCCGCCTGTTTATTTTGCTTCTAAATTACCCTTTTTGTGAAAAATCTAAAAATAACAATGCCTGCCAAAATCTCATTAAAAAACGAAAATGTGTAGTTAGAACACAGGATTTGCAATGAGAATAAGCAGTAGAAATGTAAAAAGAAAAGGCATTGAATTTAAAAGGATATTAGTGAAATTATTATTATTATTATTTTTTATTTTTTTTTTTTTTTTATCTGCTTAGTCTTTACACGAAAAATGCACTTTGTGGGAAAGCCTTCACATTTTTTTTTTTCTTTATAATGGACTCCATATCTTAGATTCGGTTGAAAATAAACGTAGTCTATAAAAGGTATATAAGAGGATAAACATAAGAATAAGAGGATAAACAGTCAAACATTTTATCCAAAAGCTAAGTAAAAAGCAAAATAATAGTAATGATAACAATAGCAATACGAATATGATAATGATAAAGTTGATGATGGCGAGAAGAATGAATAATAACGAGAATATAATGATGATAGCAATGGCAATCATAGTGATGATTATTGAGGATGGTTGGACAAGGATGGTTGTATCAGCGGCTCCCTTTTTTTTTTTTTTTTTTTTTTTTTTTTTTTTTTTTTTTTTTTGTCTGTGGCCCCCGACCAATATGTAATAATTTCCATGGCCCCATTCAGTGCCTGTCATATTTTCAGATTCAGTTACTTATTATGAATAGTGTAATGGTGTCAATAGCTATAGGACAAGAACCCTTGATGGAAATAATCCAATTTATTAATATGTGTTGCTACTATAGGTGAGACAAAATTCAGTTTAAATTCGTCATAATATTCATATTGCTCCATGGCCCCCCGGTTGAGAACACCTGCTTTATAATGGTTTTATAATGTTTTATTGGATTCAATAAAACGGAATCTTCAAGGCAAACACCAATTTATTGAACCATTCTTAGTGAACAGGTAAAGTCGAACGAAGATAGTAAATAAAGGCAGAGTTTCATTCCCTTCCCAGGTTGGCAGGTTGTCAAGGCAGAAGCAGAGGTTTGGTGACGATCTGCGCAGCCCTGCCAGCGGTCAGCATCCTGTGGAGAACAGCGTCATTAGTTGCGAATCGTACATTTTCGTAAGAACGGAAGAGATGCGGGGAAAGAGGGGGGTAAAGTGAGGGTGAGAGAAACAGATAGATAGACGGACGGACGGACAGAGAGACAGGGAGAGAGAAAATGAGAGAAAGAGAGAGGAGGGATAAGGAGAGAGGGAGATAGAGAAAGAGGAGGGATAAGGGGAGAGAGAGAGAGAAACAAAATAAAACATGACAGACAGACTGAGACACCACTTCGTCGCCAAGGGCATCGCGAGACTCACCGGGGAAGGAGTTGAGAAGGATCGTCCGAATCCTCAGCTTCTGTCCTTAGCCAAAGTGTCCAAATCCATAGGGCCTGTATCCAAAGCCGTATCCATGTCCGTATCCTCCATATCCTCCATATCCACCAAATCCACCGAAGCCGCCGCCGAATCCACCCAATCCATGTCCGAAGAAGAATCTCCTGTTGGCCTTGGCGTCGGCCTCGGCCTCGGGTGCGGGAATGGCCAGTGCCAAGGCAGACAGGGCCACGACCACCATCAGGGCCAGAGTGATGCTACGAGCGATCTGGCGATGGAGCGGGGCGTTAGGTGACAGGGAAAGGGGCTGGGAGATGAATAATGCTCTTTGACTCTTATCATATTTTATTTTATTTATATCTATATTTTTTTTACGAGGAGTGATATTTTTATGATACATTTTTATATTTTAAAAATTATCTATTATCTATTTTTTTATTATTATTATTTATTTTTTATTTTATTTTTTTTATATATTATATATTTTTTTTTTTTTGTGTAAATAAGGTTGGTATTCTAGTTTTGTTTTTGTGCGTGGTTCGTTTTACATTCTTTCGTTCTTTCTTTTTTTGCAAACAGGGGACGAATTGCTTGTTTTGTATTTGTGTGGCTCGTTGTCCTTGTTGTTTTTCGCAAACAGGTGATGAGATGCTAATTTGGTGAATGTGAATCACTGTTGTTTGTATGTTTGATTTGTAAAATGGGGTCGAATTACGTTTGTATGGGTGTGTGTAAACAATTGGTTTGGGTGTAATTACTTGTTTGTTTCATATTTTTTCTTTATAAACAAGGGTTGAATTGCTAATGTTTTGTGTGATTGCTTGTTAGCTATATGTTTTGTTTTGCTAAACCAACCCATCAAAATGTTTTATTTTTTAATATATCCAAATAAGGTTGTGGGCGATGAAACTTAACTTTTTACTTATTTGTCGTTGCTATCTATTCATTCTGCCGTCTACTGAAGTTGTTAATCCTTTTCACCCAGAATCCTGTCACTTTGTCTCCCATTCTCACCAGTTTAATGTCATATAAGATTATAGTTACAGTGATAACATATACATAAAAAGCCGTCCACATATAACAATTACTTTGATATTGTGTCTGAATAAGATTGATACTATCTTCCTTAATCGAAGAAATCATATAGCAAGCTCTGGTTTTCATTCGTAAACAATATAAGTTGACTGATTACTATAATCACTTGCACAAACTCTGGCGTAAATATTAAGGATTGTATGTACTGGATTCACGTCGTAATATTTCCAACGTGAAATATTACGACGAAACACAAGTCGGATTTAACTAACGAAATACACCAGTTCATGTACGACCGAAATGTTCGACCTAACTGCCGCTAGAATGCTCGCAAAGGACTTAAAAAGTGCAATCAGGGCTTAGAAAAGTCACACAAGAACAGTATTAATACATTACCATAGTGAGAAGGTCGCGCAGACTGTCACAACGCAAAGAGTAGACTCAATGGGGTGCACCGATGCAGCTCTTTATATACTATGCCGAGCGCCTCATCAGCTGTGTGGTAACGCGGGGAACCCTCGTCCTTGAACAAGTTTTGCGGGGCTTTCCGCCTAGAACCCCATCGCATGGTAAT